GCTAGTAGCCGCCATAATGGACAGCACAAGTCTGTAGAGCGTTTTCCACAGCACAGCAAGCTCTGTTGGATAGCTCTGCTTTAGAACCTAGAGACCATATCTCCCACTGACTTATGTTTTCATGTGACTGTGCCCCATACTCAGCATATGTACCCCATTCAGCATTTCCAAAGCACAACTTATCAATAGTATCTTTTCCCTAAACCTCATTTTCCTTTTACAAGCTCTGCACTCCCACCTACTGAGGCACCAAGTCATAGGTCTCAGAACCACTGCCACCTCTTCCCTGTCCCAGCCTAGCCACATCCCCTGTACAGCCCCTCAGTTATCAGACCCGGGCTTCATGAGCTGTCATAGATAGGAACATCTCTGTTCTCTCTCCCTTCCCACCAACCCCTCCTCTCCTGCCAAGCTCCAGCCCCTGCTGTCTCTGATGCAGGCTGTGTCTGTGGCATCCCAGCTACACTCCCTGCTCCTGGAGCTTGTCCACTGTCCCTGCTCCTGTCCTTCAACAAGCCAGTGATGCCCCTGCACATACGATCCACCCAGACCTGTTGGCAGTCCTTCAAGACCTGCCATGAATAGGCCCCTGCCTGCCTCCACCTTCCTGCCCCCCTTCCAGGCACAAGCCGGCAAACTTCCCTGACATGCGCCCATCACATGGCTCTACACCTGCAAAGTTTTGCTTTTACTCTGCCCCCACATGGACTCATTCTCCTTGCCAGACGTCTCTTCCTTCCTCAAAATGCAGGTCAAACCTTACTTCTCTATAGCCTTTCTGATCCTGCACCTAGCTCTTCAGCTAACTAACAAAGCCTCCCTTGTTTACAGGCCTGTTTCCCCCTAGTTAGCACCTGAAGAGGCTGGCATGTAGTCTTTGGATCACCGCTACACGGTGCTTAGTAAAATGTACAAGACAGGAAGAGGAGGAAGAGGCCCAATTCAGAAAGCATCACGATACTAGGTTGAGCAGACGGAAGGGCTCCAGTTGCATGGTGAAGGCAGAACTGGAAAAGCGAGTCTGTAGACTCCCACAACTCCAAAGAAATGGGCGGATTCAGGGTCGATGCCAAGGTTTGAGTCAAAAGATGTAGGAGAACAGTACACCCAATGACAGATAAAGGAAGGACAGGGAGAATTGATTTTTTTTTTTTGGAGAGATTTTTTTTTTTTTTTTTATATAGGGACTGTCCCGTCCCACGCAAGACTGCGCTCGCTCGCCAGACAGACAGAGAGAGACACAGAGACAGAAATCGAGAAATCACCCCCCAGAGGGAATGGTCACGCCGCAATCCCTTCTCCTCTATTCTCCTCTTGGGATCTTGGGCATGCACGCACACGCGCCCGGCATGAGTGTTAAGCCACCGGGTCCGGGACGTGAACTGCGGTCGACTATGTGGGAGTCCAGCGACATAGCCATTACGCTAACTGCTGGTTCCCAGGGAGAATTGATTTTAAAAAATAAAAACTTACCTATTTGATTTTAGATAAACTAAGGTAAAATGTCCAAAATTTCCAGTGGCTGGAAATGGAATTAAAGCCTGAGACCTAGGTAAAGATGGAAGCAATACACTTGACCCAAAATCAGTTTTCCTCTTTCTTGCCAGAATATGAAGCTTTGCATAGTGCCACATGGGAGGTGAGAAAGGAAAGTACCAGAAAACCTGGGGCTGGAACACAACGGACACCTCTTGGAATAAGATCATCCTCACATCTGTTTTATGTTTAGAGTCAATAGTTAATGCCGCAGAAATCTTGTTGGCAGATAAGAGACTATAGAGAAAAATAAAGTTACTTGAGCCAAACTGTGGAAAGCCCAATTATTGTCGCAAACTGATGAGGGAAATGCCATCCAAGTTAGGGATGGGGGAAGACTCCCCAGAATAGAAGGGCTGACCAGGAGTCCAGACAACTAGGCCCTAAGAAGAAGAGCAAAAGCTGGCCTGATCCCAGCTAGCAGTGACACATGGAGAATAGGGCTCAGGCCCTGGCCTTGTGAATGGCCCAAGATGTAAAGTGGGATTCTTGGACTTGGGCAAGAAACCTTAAACTCGAGGTCCAGCCTGGGGAAGGTGCTGGCAGACACTAGCAAGATCACAATCTTATAGGATTCCAAAATGGGTCATATTAAGTCATATTCAGAAGCTAAAAGCTGCTAGGGGCCCACATGAAGGACTGTTCATGTAGG